CCGAGGAACAGACTTCACAAACGCGGGACGGGTCTTGCGCGGCGAAGTAGACGCACTATCGAAGGCGTGCCCAATGTTGACGACAGGAAGGGGGGTGGGGACACAGGCAAAGACAACGTAAACCCGGGTCGAGAGGAGGAATAAAGAAAGACGTGCCTCTCGCCCTCCCTCTCACCCTCCCTCTCACCCTCCCCTCTCACGTCCGCCCGCCCTCCGCCCCGCCCTCCTCGCGCAGCCGCTCACGCGGAGCGTCGCCTCGATGGAAGCCCTCGACGTCCTCTCCTCCTCCTTCGGCTCGAAGTGAGAATGCGAGGCATGGCCGCCTGAGACTGACAGGCAGCCACTCGCAGGGCAACCGCATCCCAGCGGAACCAGCAGCAGCTAGGCTCCGCCCGCCGCCCACGCCGCTGCTCGCACGCCCCGCGCCTCCCCCCGCCATGATGCGATCCTTGTTGCCGCGACTAGTTGTCGCGCGCCTCATCTTCGCCACGCCCCGAGCGCCTCCCGCCCGGTCCATGCGCCGTCTTTCTCGTGTGTAGAATATTTAGCCGCGCGCACGATATTTTTGCATCGATTTCCGTTTGCTCTGTGTGTTTGAGACCCATATGGTGTATTGCCTGCATGTGTAGTCGAAGAAGTATAGCCTGTTGTTCAAATTCCACGATGAGCGCCCGCGCCCGACAAAGATGAAAGACCAAAGCGACGCCCTGGCGACTGGCGGGCACAATCCACAAAGGCTTTGCGCGCGATTCAAAGGACAAAGATCGCAAAAAACCGGGGCGGGCCTCATCGTTTGGCACCCTCCTGCTAGCCGCGCATGAGTAGGGAGACCGTGTGTGGTGTCTTCGCGGCCTAGAGCACCCTCTTGGCAGTCTATATTCCGGATTTTAGCCCTCCTGTCGCATCTGGTGAGCCGTACCAGAGAGCGAGGACCCAACGTGTTGTGAAACCAAAGCCAGGACCTGTACGGGCAGTCATGTTTCTTCTTCTACCGATTTCAGAATGAGCCGAGTTTGAACTAGTTTCTTCCTGTGGCAGTATTACACGGTGAATGACCGAAGAAACATGTCGAGTCAACAGCGAAACAAATGAATTTCGACCGGGCCCCATCCCAATCGATCGGGGACCAACTTCGGGTGGTCGTGGCGCCTAACGGCGTCTAAAATAAATTCATGTCGCCCCATGTTATGCAAACTCACGTTTCCAAAAACAAAACTAACACACGATAAATCCCCCCTCGCTTTTATCCGCATATGGGGGGGTGGGGGGGGTACACATTGCGATGACGAGTTTCGTGACAAAACCGCAGGCGGATGTTGTCAGGCGGACGGGAACCTTTATCACGGAACATTTGTCACGGACGGAACCTTTGCGACCTTTGTCACGGAAACCATGGTAAAGAAAGAAAGAAAGAAAACAGACAACCCAAGGGAGGGATGGGGAGGAGGACGGCACGCCGCCACCACACAGGGATTTTAAGGAGAGGTGTGTGGTGCGCTAGCCGTCGCCCACCCTGGGGAGTCTGCCTCTTCCTATCTCTCTTCGCCATGGTCACGGGACCTTTTCGTAAATTCTTTTTTTTTGAGAGCGCCTTCGTTGTTAATAGTACAAACCCCATGGTCCTCTGCGAGCGGTCCTTCGTTGCAGACGCACACACGCACATCGCTTTTCGTCGAAGGTGCCACACCCAGACGTCCAGCTCGAGGGGGTCAGGGCCCGCGACGAGCAATCTATGTATATGAGCCTCCTCGTCTGCAGCCTCGCCCCCACCGCGCTAGTGGACGGCTCGTCGTGGCGGATGATGCTGAACGTTGGGCGCGTGGATGGATCGGCGATGCCCGCCTCCTGGGCCGCATCCGGTGGTCGGCTACTGCTGCCGCTCGGCGTGCGCTTCGACGGAGGCCGCGCGCAGCCGAGCGACGGTGCGGTCAAGTTTGTGGGCCCGCGCGGCGAGGAGAGCGTGGCCGTGGAGGAGAGCGACGGATGGCACGCCACGGAGAAGAACTTCTTGGGCGAGTCCGAGCTGCGCTTCTCGCTGCAGATCGGCGGCGCACGGCGGAATGACGTCAGCCTCCCGCCTGGACGGTACTTTTTCCGGGCGCGCTGCTGGGACGACGAGACGCTTCCGGACGCCGAGGAACAGGTGGCGGAGCTGGAGAGGGAGGTGGAGGCGTTGAGCAGACGGATCGACGCGTGCGGGCGGCGGCTGCAGCGGCAGGGACCGCTGCTCGGCCCGGCGCGGCTCTGCTTCAGCCTCCTGGCCGGCGAGCTCTGCAGCTTGCGGGAGCAGCGCTTCCAAAAGCTGCTCACCCTCAAGAGCCGGCGCAGCCGCCTCCCCGACGGAGGCGCGCCACACACACACTCGCTCTCTCTCTCTCTCTCTCTCTCGCACACACACACACACACACACACACACACACACACACACACACACACACACACACACACACACACACACACACACACACACACACACACACACCGCTCACCCACGCGCACCGGGCCTTGGCACTTTGAATGCCGTGGGGCTCCTGTCGTCTAGACGTGGAGTCGCGAGGGACTAGGCTGGCCCTTGCCCCACCACCTCGTGTGTGTGGAGAAGTGCACCTGACCTGACCTTACCTTAGGCGCGCGCGGCCTGTGGCACGAGCCCTCCCTCAAGCTGCGCGTGGCGAAGCAGGGCCAGCTGCTGATGCGACGCTCCGATGCGTGGCTCGATCCAGAGATCTCACAGGCGACAATTAATTAATTGATTATTTAATGCGACCGCCTAATGAATGATTAATTAACTAACGAGACCCCGAGCTCTCACAGGCGACGTGGCGAGCGGCGGCGCGGCTAGTGCTGCCTCCCGTCCGACGGCACTGGAGGCTCGCCGGCGGCGACGACTTCGCCATCGTCGGAACCTTCTCGTGGGCGCCTTCGGCCGACGTCGACGCGTGAGGTGGCGTCCAAATCCCACGCCTCCGGCCCTCCGTTGGGCTTGTGTGGCCAGCCGTCTGGGGGCCGTCTCGTCTCGGCTCTGTGCGGTCTGCGCTGCTGCGCGCCTCGCGCTCTGGCGCAGGCGCCGGCAGCGCGTCTCGCCCCCCATTCTGCCTCTCTCTCTCTCGCTCTCGCTCTCGCTCTCTCTCTCTCTCTCTCTCTCTCTCT